AAGGAAGAAAGGAAGGAAGAAGGAGAGGAAGGAAGGAAGAAAAGAAAGAAAGAAAGAAAGAAAGAAAGAAAGAAAGAAAGAAAGAAAGAAAGAAAGAAAGAAAGAAAGAAAGAAAGAAAGAAAGAAGAAAGAAAGAAAAAGGAAAGGAAGGAAGAAAGAAAGATGCTTTGGAAATGTAGTTTGGCTGACTGGACGGAATATTAAGTGTGTTGTTAGAAAACTGACGTGAGTGCTAGTTCTGTCTTTGTTACTTACTAGCTGTGTGACCTTGAATAAGTCACTTACCTTCTCTGCGCTTGATCCCTCATCTGTCAGATGAGAGACTGAACTACTGAGCTTTAAGATTCTTTCCAGCCCTAATATTCTGTGAGATGTTGAAGACAGGGCGAATCTGGCTTTCAGTTGTGGGCTTGCTTCCAGAAAAGCAATTCAGCAGAACAGCTGAGATTCCCAGCCTTTTGCAGGGGCCTCTGCCTTCTCCCTCTCCTCCATGTCTTAGCAAATATTAATAGCCAAGGGCCTCGCTGAGTGTGGTTTTTAATAGAATCCAATTTCAGTCCATTTATAATGGGACTTTTCATGCTGACTTGGTAATTTGAACTCTGTCATGCCTGATGGACCGAATGCATTTTCCCTGTCTGTGCTGCCTGCGCTGGGCTGGTGGGGAGAGAGGGGGCAGGCACTGGGAGTGGGATGCAGGGGCATCTTAATCAAAGCAGCTATGATCAGCTATTTTGGCCTCCCAGCCAGTGTTGTCTTTCCTGCTCTGAGGCGTGTGATGAGGATTCCAGGGCACTGGAAGGAAAGGGCCACGGCTCCGCTCTTTCCTGACGATGCCTTCTCCTTGCAGCCCAGAAGCCGCTGGCCTCTGCGTGGAACTGCGGCAACAAAACCGTGCTGATCTTTGCTCGTGACTAGAAGACACTCAGTTCTAAAAACCATAAAAATTACTCCAGTCGGTTGCTGTGGAGTATCTGACATGCTTGGAGAAGGCACATGGTGCAGTATGAGGGTTCCTTGGCTCTCCTAACCCCAAGTACTTGTCCTATTTGATGAGAGAGTAGTCCGGGGGCCTGCTAGGAGCTCCCTTTCTTCTAGCGCAGTGCGGAAACGTGGAAGATAAACAAACAGGCATTAGTAGCCACACTATAAATGAGGAAACTGAGGCTGAGGAGGGTGGGGGAAGGAAAGGAATATTTATTCCATGCTTACTCTGGGCCAGGGACTGAGCTAGGAGTCAGGTATTTCTTAATCCTCCCAACACCCTTTTAAGGGATCTAACATTATCCCATGTACAGGTGAGGAAAAATGAGGATCAGAAAAGTCAAGCAACTGCCCCAAGGTCACACAGCTGGTAGATGTCAAAGCTGGTGTTCAGACACAGCGCCATCGATCCACGCCAAAAGATCACATGGTTTGACAAAACAGTGGAGCTGGGTGTTCTGATTGTCTGCCCGTCTCCCTCCGAAGGGGCTCCTTAACCTGGCTGCTCAGCAGAACCACTTCAGGACGATAAGAAACGAATAGTGTCTTGAGCATTATCCTCATGAGTCCGATTCAGTGGGTCTAAGGCAGAGCCAGAGAGTATGTATTTTTAAAAAGCTGCTTCAAGCGATTCTGCTGTTGTGGAAAGCACAGCACTGAAGCACATAGCTTCTCTCCTAACCCAAGTCTCCAAGGATTTCCTCAGTTCTCAGAAGCACAGATCCAGTTCAGCCCTGCACTTACCTCAAGTAACATTTGCCACCAAATCCATCCTTCATTTCAGGTTCAATGTCAACATTTATTGAGCACTTACCATGTGCCAGGCCTCATGCTGGGCATTCTAGCTGCGAAGATGAATAAACCACAGTACCTGCCTTGAGGAACAGCCAGGTAGTAGGCCAGACCAACACAGATTGGAAGCTCCAATTCCCATTTGTAGCAAATGCTAGGCAGAGGTAGGCTCATGTGGTCTTAAGAGTGCAGACTAAGGGATCAAGGAAAACTTTCAAGCAGTGATGCCTTGGTCAAGTCCTATAGGAGTTAGCAAGGCAAAGAGTGAGTTGGTGGAGGAGGCACAGCCAGCGAGGCAGAGGGAACAGCATGGAAAGGCCCAGACACCTAGAAGCATGGGGTCAGGGTATCACAAGAAGCTGTACCACACAACATTGTAAAATGATTATAAATCAATAAAAAATGTTAAAAAAAAACCATTAGGTCAAAACCAAAAAAAAAAAAGGGATGGCAGAACCCTGCCACACTTTAAAAATACTTATGTGTTTGTGTATAAAAAGATCGAAATGTAATGAAAGTAGTTACAATGATTATTGCTGGTTAGACAACTAGCTCGTTTTCATTTTCTTGTTGTTATATAAATATATTTTCCAAATTTCTACAATGAAAATATAAAACTTTTATAATCAAAAAAAAAAAAAAAAAAGAAGCTGTACCACAGTGGAATGCAGGGTGCCTTGGGGAGAAGACCGGCAGCCGAGCCTCGAAGAGTCAGTCGGAGAAATCACATTAAAGACCTTGTGTGTTATGCTGAATTTGGCCTTTCTCCTAAAAGTGTTGAGGAGCCACTAAAGATTCTTAGGCTGTGGAGAGACAAAGTCAGACGGTGTGTTAGAAGGGTCACGCTGATAAAAATGAGAGGGTGAACCGTAGGCAGAAAGAGCTGGCAACAGAGGAACAAATTAATTGCAGAATTAAGAATTTATGTCTGTCAAAAAGCACCATGAACAAAATTTGAAAGCAAAGCACTTGGAAAGCATATTTGCAATGTTTCCTGACAAAAATAATACTCTTAATAAAATTACATACTGATAATAAACATATCAATATCAAATAAATAGAAAAATCACAAAGAAGTACAAATGGTCAATAAGCATATGAAGATGTTACTCACAAATAAAGAAGTGCGAGTCCATATAACATAGATATACTATAATTTTCTTATCAAATTGGTAAAGATTTGATAAGAGGTAATACCCATGATTAGTAAGGGACAGGGAACAGGGCACTCTCAGGCCTGCAAATAGGAGAGTGCTCTGGTACAAACTTTCTGGAGGGCAGTTGACACCACATTACGAAAATTCTTTAAGATAGCCAAACAATTTCCTTCTTGGATTTTATCCTAAGGAAATAGTCATAGATATGTGCAAAATTGAGCTACAGGAACATCTGTTGCAACATTATTGACAATAAAGATTGGGAACAAATGAAATAATCACTATTAGGAGGCTGGTTAGGAAAGGAGGGTCCATGATGCTGTTGAAAAAATTTGGGAGACACACACAAAAATATTACGTTCATGATACAGTAAGTGAAGCAGCACAAGGTGCAAAAAAAGTGTGTCCAATATGTTACCATTTGTGACAAAATACATACATACACTTGAAAATGCATCACTGTCTCTGGAAGGGTATACAAGTGATTGGAAGGAAACTAGATGCTGGCAGACAGGGTGGGAAGGAGACTGACTTCTCACTACAGAGCTTTTTGTACTTCTGGAGTTTTGTACCTGTGTCTGCATTACATATTCTACCATATAAACACACAGTTTGAAAAGTAAGTTATTAAAGAGTATGTACAATGTGATCCAGTTTTTGTAAAAAAAAAAAAAGGCATGTGCATGTGGACATTTATACCAAAAAGAACCAAAAGATACATCCCAAAGGGTAACAATATTTGTCTTGAGTAGTAGGACTACGGATTGGAATTTGTCTTTTTTTTCCCCCTAGTATTTCTATAATATACATGTGAGGCTTTCAAAATAATTACAAGAAAAGTCTAATTCCACCCCACCCAAAGAGTCTAAGACCAAAGTCCAAGCAGGAGATGACAAACGAGTTCAGATTCAGGATGGGTGTTCCAGGTATAGCTCCACAGTGACATCCACAAACCAAACGTGTAATTAAATGACAGTCCCTGTTTGAGGGAGAGAGGAGGGGAAGAGAGCCGAAGGTTTGGGAAGGTGAACAGTTCTGATTTTGCTACCAACTCTCGGAAGTCTCTGGATAAATGCATGAAAAATTCAGTCCCACCACCCCAAACATCAACCAAACCCCTAGGCAGCTTTATTCTTTGGGATCATTTAACTTTGGGTCACAGTGAATAGAGTTCCAACACACACATCACCAGGCAAGCAGACCGCCTGGTCACTTGTTCTACAAGGTCCCATAAGGTTGTCCTCACCTAGTTCTGGTTTTCAACCTTTCTCTTGGAAGAATGGCAACAATCTTACTGTCCTCACCTGTCCAGCCCTGCCTCAACTCGCTCGGTGAGGCAAGACCCCTCTCCTGCTCTGTATTGGGAACAGTCACTCTGAGTCCTTCCTCACGGCACGAAGACCAAAGGGAGACCCTGTCAGTTTGAACTGACTCTGCAGGCTACCTCTCACCTCATCGCCATCCTTCAGATCCTAACAAGCAGTTTGCCAACTCATAAACTGTCTGGGCTGGAGGCCTGGGAGTAGGAGAGTTTTGCACGTTTGCCTCTGCTATGTGGGCTGCAGGGTGGTTTTGAGTTGGGGTCATGTGAAGCCATTTTGGAGGAAGAGGGCAGAAAGGATACGGCAGGGGTGGGGGAGAATGTGGCAGCCGTAACAGCTTTTTCCTTTTTCCCTTTTCCAGAGGGTGAGCTATAGGCAACCACCTGGGCGCCCCTGGATATTTCTAGCACATTCTTACAGTCCCTGTTGGAAGCCTTTGAGGAGCTATGTGAATATAACCTGTGTTGCTGGCTTCTGGGCCCCTCAGAGGTGATTGGATCCTGCAGTGTTGGAGCCTCTGATTAAATAAATAACCCATCATTAACTTCGTGTTTCCTGTCGATCTCTACCTATAATTGTGACTCTTCCCCAGTTCGGGGGACGGGATGAGGAATGCCAGGTGGGTAGTTTGGATACATGCTGGCCCATCAGCAAGGAGAATGAGTAACTGCTGGTCTCAGCTGTCTTTTCTGCCACTAGGGAGTCTAGCGTTAGGGGCCAGTTTTTTGCCTTGGGCTAAATACAAAAGGCAGCCCATGTACCACCATTTACATAGTCAAGGCTTGTCAACTTAATACACACTGTCCTGCTCCTGATGGTTGTAACTACTCAGTATAACACTTTGTAGAGCAGCAACTAACTACAGGGTAGTTAATAGCTGGAGCTCTGGAGTCGGACACACTTGGTTCAAATCCTAGCTATGCCACTTAAGGCCATGCAACCTTGGGAGAGTTTCCTGTGTTTCAGTTTTCTTATCCATCCAATGGGGATAGTAGCGTAATTGTGTGAAAGAAATGAGATTATACATGTAAAGATCTGAGGATAGTGCATTTAATCAATGGTCACTATTAACATTATTGCATCTGTATATAGTTTAATTTGTACAATATTGTCTCTTTCACTAACCACACGAAAAATACATGAAAGTGCTTTGAAAATTTTAAAGCATCATATAAATTAAAGGTGTCATTGGTAATAATCTCATATGAGTATTTCTCAACTCTTCCATCTGCTAGAAGACCGGGACTACATTCTCTGTCCCACAGCATATTGAACAATGATAAGCAAACAACAAGCCCTCAGTAAATGTTTCTTATTGGACTGAAGCAACATGGCATCGCATAAAGAGCGCAGGTATCGGGAGACTAGGCTGGGATAAAATTAGTTTAAGGCAGGAGAGCCAATCTGCAGCCATCACTTAGTCATTCAACAAATCTTTGTTGAACAGAATCTATGCACTAGATATTGAGTCCAGATAATTTCATCAAAAGGAGGCTTACAAATTCCCACACAGCCAAGTCCCAGGGCAGTCTCCAAAATCCCAGCCTACTCTAATAGCACAAAGGCGCAGCCAGCGTTGTATACCACTGGACAAACGGCCCATTGCTTCGGGGAAAGTCCCGTCCTGCCTGGCTGTAAGTAGCTCTAATTAGGGGGGTGGGGAAGGAGGAAAAGGGAGGGAGTGGGCTGCTTCCAACAGAAATGACAGGAGCTGCTGCCTGTTAATTTATCTTTATTTACACTTAATGAGTCCACAGTTCAATCTCTCAGTCTACAAATGCTCCTTCCCCTAGGTGTCATCTCCCTCCAACCCTCACCTATGGGGCCAGCCCTTAGCGCACTTTGCCCCGCCCTTCTGCTGTCACAGCTGACTGCTGGGTGGGAGTCCGGGAGAATGGTATGTGTGGTCACCGGAGGGCACTGAGAGTGGGCTTCAATGGCATGTGAATCCTGGCAGAGCCTCCGATCCCCGAGAGGGAGAGAAGAAAGCATAGGCCAAGACAACAAGGGAGGGAGGGAGGCAGGGGCTGAGGTTCCTGGGGTGGGGAGTGGTGGCGGCAGGGGGTGTGGTTAGAAATCCAGTGTACAAATTCCCTCTGTTGGCTTCACCAACACTTCTGGTGTCTGTCTCATCCCTGGATTCGGCCCAGTTGCCTTGAGATGCTCCAGTTGTCAGGAAGGCGTGGAGGGGTCCAGCCCGTGGGCTCCGTGCCTGACGCCTTTGGGATGGTACACCTGCCAGGCTCTGTCTCTGTCAGAAGCTCTGGCCCAAAGTCAAAACTGCAATGGCATTCCCAGCCCATGAGAGTCCTCTCCAGCCGTTTCCATAGAAGTAAGGTCCCCCTCAGTGGTTGCCCTACTGAAAAGAAAATGTCCCCAGTGTCAGGACAACCCACTGGATTCCAAATTTGCATGGCTCCTTCTTTTCACACTGGGAGGAGACAAGGAGTTGAGGGGCAACAGGAGGAGGAAGTGGGGAGAAAGGAACGGAAGCCAGGGAGGGGCTCTCCACCAGGGGATGCCTGCATGTCCTGGGTCAGGCTCAGCTCTAGGAGGTGTTTGAGTTACATGGCTTCCTTCTCTCTCTGGGAGCATCTGCTGAGCTTCATCTCCGTCAGCTGAATATATCGAATCACGTTGGTGTCTGTGAGGAGAGAAACACATCACGGGGAACACCTGGTGAGGGGTGGTCACACAGAACCAGAGCAAAGCTGTATCTGCAGATCCCGGACAGGCCAGACTCACTCCGCCCAAGTGGGGGGTGGCTGAGAATGCAGCCAGGATGTGGGCCCTCTCCCTCACTGCCTCCATGTGGACAGTTCGCCGTGATGCAGAGGACAGATGGGAAGCAGAGGAGACGAGGGGAACTTTCTCCTCTCATTTCTATGGAGCAGCATCTCCCAGTGGTCCTGCGTCAGGACAGTTAGTTAAGACTCTACTAAGAATTTAACCTCAGGCAAGTGACCGACTTCTCTAAGCCATCCATCTCCTCTACAAGAAACGACCTCCATTTTTGAACGCCTGACTTCGGAGTCATGTTTTTAACGTTCATTGTCTCATTTAATCCTTATCTTAATCCTGTCAGGTATGTCTCATTGTCCTCACTGTGACAAAAGTGAACACTGGGTCCTGGAGAGATTAAGTCAGATGCCCAAGGAGACACACAGTTGGTGCCTCTGACTCCAAAGGCTGCCTCTCCTGGGGATCTAATACCTTCCTCATAAAATCACTACGAGGACCAAAATAGATACATATAAAAGTGCTCAATCCAATGGTCAATAAATAGTTGAATGCAATTTTTTTTTCATTGGTGAGTTTAAAAGGATTTTGCTTCCTTGCCTTATTTTTGCTTTTATAAGTAGGGTCAGGCAACCACCTCACCACAAACTGGGGAATTTTCCCCCAATACCAGCCCTTAAATTAGTGAGCGGGGTAGGACACAGAACAGCAGGTTAGCTCTCCACACACTGCCATATACGAGTTTCAGGGCTGCCTAAGATGTTTACTTCTGGAAGTAGAAATGAATGCTGTATAATATTCCAAGATACAAAGCAGGGCATCCAGAACAGTCCTGGCATACAGCAGGTGCTCCAGAAAATTCTATTAAATGAGTCCAGTTCTTAGTCCTCAAGTTGCTTCCGGGATAGCTGGGGGAACATAAACTCCATATACAGAAAACAACTACACATAAAAAAACAAAAGATACTGGTGCTCTTTGAAAAAATGAAGAAAAAAAGTATACCTTTGGATATTTGCAAATTCATCCTAACAAGAGTCCTTGGAAGGAGAATTGCATTAAAAAAAAAAATCCGTCACTTGAACAACCATGGCAACAGCAAGTCAAAGTCGTGGTTTCAATGATATGTCCTCAGAGAGGGTGTCCCTGACCACCTGGTCTAAAACAGCGTTCCCTTTCATCTTGATCCTTTGCCTCGGCTATATTTCCTTCGTAGCACTTAGCACCACTACATAGTACATTATCTATCCGTCTGCTTGGTTACTGTCCATCTTCTTCCATTACAGCATAAACCCCTTGAAGGTAGCAACTTGCTTTTGTTCCCCGCTGTCTACCCCACACTTAGAAGAGTTCCTGGCTCGTTGTACCCGCCCCAATGTACATCTGTGTGGCCTGAATGAACGGCGGGGCTAGTGGATACGGTTTAAGTCAGTGGGGCAGATAGTGCAAGCTAGAGCATTCCTTAGAAGGAATTCCTTAGAAGGAATGGGATCTGACTGGAGGAGTCAGAGTGCGCTTCCTGGAAGATGTTGGACTTAGCCCCCAAATTATCCGATGTGAGCTCCTCTCCAGTTGGGACCACGTCTTTTCATCTACATCCCTGGCACCCAACACAGATCTTGGTATATAGCAAGACTTTGATATGTATTCATTCAGTAAGCAAAGAGGGCTGGATTCCAGGTTGGAAAGGATGAAGAATTCCATATTCTATTTGAAAAGAAGAGGTGCCCAAGCTCCTTGGAACCCAGACCCCAGGTAGAGGCCGGGGCTGTGTGCTCGGCTTGTCCCAGTGCCAGCACACACCTGAGCCCTAATTTGCCATTTCCACCCCTGCCTGGCCCCTGCCAGCCACGAAAGCTGTCCACGGCAATAAGGAGCTGGCCCAGGGGGCTGGTGGAAAGAAATCAGCAGCTGCTGCCTTACCTGTTGGCTGTCGGGTCCTCGCTTCTTTCAGGTAGTAGAGTGCTTTGTCATAGTCGCCCAGGTGGTAGAAGGCCACACCAGACCGGTAAAGGGCCTTGAAGTTCTCCCCTTCCTTCTTGAGGACTTTGAGGCAGTACTCCTTGACTCGCTCGTAGTTCACCAGCTCAGCCTGCAGCAGGCAGGCTACGGAGGGAGGGAGAGAGAAGGGAGGGCGCCCTCAGCGGGACAGCAGCAGCCCGTGAACGTCTCAGGCTCTTCCTCTCTGGCCAGAGAAGGTTTACAAGTGCTGGACCTTTACACTGGGGTGCTGCCGGCAGATGATCCTGGGTTCGAGAATCCAGTCTCATCATCACCCAGCTGTGCGACCTGGGGCAAGGTACTTGGCTTTGTATTATGGGCTGAGCTGTGTTCTCCAGCACCTCCGCCACCCCACCAAGAAAGATACGTTGAAGGCCTAACCCTCAGTGCTTCAGAATGAGACCGTATTTGAAATGAGGGTCTTTACAAAGGTAATGAAGTTAAGAAGAGGTCCTTAGAGTAGGTTCTAATCCAACATTACTGGTATCCTTATAAAAAGGGTGCTACAGACTGAATGTTTGTGTCCTCCCAACCCCGAATTCTCATGCAGAAAACTCATCCTGAGTGATGGTGTTTGGGGGTGAGGCCTCTGGGAGGTAACTGGGTGTTAAGGGTGGGGCCATCGTGATTGGGATTCTTGGTCTTGTAAAAGAGACCCCAGAGAGCTCCTTCACCCCCTCTGCTACATGAGGACATGTGGGACGACAGCCATCTAAGAACCAGGATGCGGGCCCTCACCAGACCCTGAACCTGCCGCTGTCTTGACCTTGGCCTTCCCAGAACTCTGAGAAACAAGTGGTGGTTGTTTGAGCCACCCTGGCCTGTGGCATTTTTGTTACAGTAGCCCAAACAGACGAAGACAAACAAGAAGTCTGGACACCAAGATGGACACTCACAGGAAAGATGATGTGAAGAGACGCAGGGAGATGGCCGCCTACGAGCCAAGGAATACCTGAAGCGACCAGAAGCTGGGAGAGAGGCAGGGAACAGATTCTCCCACAGCTCTCAGAAGGAACCACCCCTACCAACACCTTGATCTTGGACTCCTAGCCTCTAGAACCCTAAGACGGTAAATTTCCATAGTTTAAGCCACAGTTTGTGCCACTTTTGTTGTGGCAGCTCTCGGAAGCTACAAGAGGGGCAATGACCATACTGACCATGGCTAATATTTGTCAAGTGCTTACCTTGTGCTGGCTGCTTGCCTCACTGCTTTACTTGTATTACCTGAAATGACCCTTGGAATACTATAATGAAGATCCTACTATTATTCCCATTTTACAGATGAGGAAGCTGAGGCCCAGAGAGGTTCAGTAATTTCCCAAGGTCACACAGCATGAAAGAGGCAAGGCTGAGATGGCAGTCAAAACTGGCTGGCTCCAGAACCCAAGTTCCCTACTGAGTTGTTGAGGGGATTATATCAAATAATGGCCATAAAGTATTTAACCCAGGGTTTGGCACATGGTAAGCTCCCGAGGTGTTATTTCTTATTATTATAATTCTTTTCAGCCCCTGCCACCCTGCAGTGACAACTGCCTCTGACTTTCCTCAAGTTCTCTTCCATACGTGTTTGTCTCTGTAGTTCCTGGGAGCAGGGGCCTTCTGATGCGCTAGTGACCAGCCTCAAATAGAGCACACCTCTGGACATGAGAGGCCTGGGAGTCCCAAGCAAGAGGAAGTGAAGGCTGGCAGGTACCTACGTGGGGCCCCTTCCTATTCCAGAGTCAGCCATCCCTGAGCAAATTGTCTCCCCTGGAAGCTTCCACTCACCAGCAATCAGCCACAGGGCTAGGGCCATGGTAAGGGAGCTTGTACCCTGGACAGTGAGCACCTCCTTAAATTTTGTGCCCTGGGGGGCCTCACTGGCCTTTCCCTAATCCTAGCCCTGCTGAGCTGCCTGGGCTCCCATTCCATCACTCAAACAGTAGGCATTGACTAAAGGCAGAGGTGTGTTATACACACTGAAGGAACTTTTTTAAAGGTGGGGGATTCGGGAGAAAAGCACCTGTCTGCTTCTTCAAAGGGAATAAAAGCAGAGACTGAGGAGGCCAAACTGCTGCTTCCTATCAAGACCTGGCCGGGTCGGGTAGGGGAGGATGCTGACACCCTTCTTCTGTGCGCTCACATTGGCAGAACTGTCCTGAGGATGGAGGCAAGTCACTGATTTTAGTCTTCAGGGGTCTAACTTCAGCTGTTTTGATTCCTTAAATAGCTTCCCAGGGATCTGAATGGCTGATTAAGAGACCAGACCTTTCACTGGGCATTTTGGACCAAAAAAGAAAAGAAGAAGAAGAAGAAAAAACACCCAGAAAATGAACCCAAAAACCCATCCTTTTGCAGAGGGAGTTAGAATTATGAGAACAAGCAAGTGGAAGAGAATCAACCCAGAGCTAGAAACTGACCCATCAGGTTTCACTGGGCCACAGGGCAGAAAGCCAAACAAACTGACAGAAGCTGCAGGCTGCTGACCCCGTGGGCCTGGGCGTAGGCAGCTGTGGTCACAGATGGACTGGGGTCCATCCTGCCAAGCTGATGCCACCATAGCTCCCTCCCCTCTCCTCCCTCAGCACTGGGGTCTAAGACCACTCCGCCTCTGCCCCACCCCGATGCGGCTGGAGTCTGTCTGGGTGCTCACACAGCTCTGCAGACAGGGAGGGGTTCTGTCCAGAGGTCTCTGGCTGTGAACCCCACTGGCTGCTCCCTGTGTGGGACTTGGCTCCAACAGCTGCCCCCAGAGCTGCCCTTCCTGTCTGAAGATTCCATGTGCCCCATCTCATGTCCTCTCTGCTCTCTGCCAAGAGCCCTCTCTCTTCCTGTCCAGCCCTCCATCTTCAAACAGACACTTCTGTTCGCTGACCCGAGCAATCTAGGGAACAGACTTCTGTTTCTTTTAAAAACAGTTTTTGAATGTCTAGAATTGGAGGGTGGGGAAGGGGAAGCAAAAAGGCCTGGAAATGGGTATGTCCTCCCCTGCTGGCCCCACCTCAATTTCTGGGACTCACTCCATAAAAATAACTGGAACTCCCCTGCAGATTTGGTGTGAACTGTGATACTTGGCGGTGGACCAGGCTTCCAACTCCGTGGGAGGTTGGGCCAGGCAGGTTACAGGGTGTGGAGGCCCTACTGGCACCAGAGGCAGAGCCGAGGAAGATGGAGAAATCTGGAGTTAGCTCCGGTCCAAATGGGCTGCCATCCCAAAAGGCTGGGCCGAGAGGGAGAATCCAGGTAAGAAACCAGCGGTGGCAGGTCAGAGCTCTTAAGAAGGCCCAGGGTGGAAGAGTGAGTGACAATCTAGAAAGTTGCGCTCAGCCCCAGCTCCAGGGGACTTTCAGGTACCCTCTAGTTTGGGTGGAGGGTTACTTGGGGTACGTACGACAAGCCCATGGCATAAGTAAGATGGGATGTTTGCAGGCACATTTTAGAGCTGAGGACATGAAGAAGGAGAGGTTGACCAGAAGTCTCTTGGAACAGGTTCTATTTTATGTTTCTTTTACTGATGATGAAATTGAGTTTCAAAGAAATTAAGTAACTTGCTGAAGGTCACTCAACTTTGGGCAGTTAGGGTGTGATTTTACGAAAAAAGCTTGGCCAGTTTTCTTAGCTCCGCAAAGGAGTCTGCAGTAGGAGAATCAGCAACTAGAGAGCCCCACTGTGTACTCACGCACTCACACAGAGGAAATCGTAAGTCTGACGTTCCCCAAGGCAACCACACTGAGACCTCAGGCTAAAACATGTCAGGTTCTCTTGGCTCTGGCACCCGTTTTGTTTTGTTTTTCCTGGTGCTTGAAGGGCATGGTGACAGCCTGGGCAAACTGCCCCTTGTTGGCCTGAGATGAAGGGAAACTGGCTGAGAGGAGGAAGAACAAGTTCATGGAGCCACTGGGTTTCTTCTGACGGCTGATTTGCCAGCGTTCGCCCTTGCCTGCTGAACCGAAGGCAAGCATGGCCTGGAGGGGAGGGAAGACCCATCTGGGGCCAGGAGTAAGGAGGAGGAATGTACTGGACCCACTGGAGGAACTCACTGTTAGGAGCTGAACTGTGTCCTCCCCAAAAGGTGTGCTGGAGTCCTAATCCTCAATCCCATAGGGAGAGAGGGTCTCTACAGAGGTAATCAAGCCAAAATGAGGTCATTAGGACAGACCTTAATTCAATATGACTGGTGTCATTATAAAAAGGAGACATTTGGACACAGGGACGGACACATACGGGAAAGACAACAGGAAGAGACACAGGGCGAAGACGGCCACCTACGAGCCAAGGAATGCCCGAGGCGGCCAGAACCTAGGAGAGAGGCAGGGAACAGATTCCCCCTCACGGCTCTCGCCAGGAGCCAACCCTACCAACACCTTGATCTCGGACTCCCAACCTCCAGGACGGTGAGGCAATGCATCTCTGTTCTTTTAAGCTGTACAGTTTGCGGCGCTCAGGAAACGAACACACCTTGCTGGTCATTCCTTTGGGAAGTGGACCCGGGAAGTGGCTGTTACCTTCCTGGGGGAAACGTCCCCAAACCAAAGTATTTGATCCGTTTTTGGGTTTATTTCAAGGGGTGATGAAAGAGCTTGGATCTGTAGTGAGGGGATGTTTGACAGGATGTTTAACAACTGGTAGAGGCTGTAACCACACTGAATAGGCACACGGTACTGTGCCTGGTCTGGGCTGTTCTGGCTGAGCATCAGGGCTGGATCCCGAGAGACAGTCCTAGGCTGGCATCCAGGCTCCGCCGGGGACTAGCCCAGGCCCTCGGGCAGGTTCCTTAATCTCCCCACGCCTCCTTCTCCTGGGTTAAATGAAGATAATAATACCTATTTTGTAGGAACTCTTGTGATGATAAAAATGAGATCGTGAACACATATTCCATGCCTCACCCAGTGCTGGGCACAAAAACCGATTCTCATAAATGCTAGTTCTTTAGGAAGTCACTGGTCAAACGTGGCTTCCCCAGAAACATGTCTGTCCATCAGAGGAAATTTCCATCTTGAATCTTACACACGGTGCAGGAAATAAAAGCTTAATTTAAAGCAAAATTTTAAGAATAGGTCAGATATATTTTGGAGGGTAATTTAGGGGGTCTTTCTTTTTTAGCATCTTGATTCTTTTTTTTTTTTTAGCATAACATTATATTCGTTTCGGGTGTACAACATGAAGATGTGATCTTTCTATTTGTTGCAAAATGATGTGTGTCTCTCTATGCAGACCAGTGGGAATGTAGTGTGTGCCGCAAAACAATGGGCGTTTTTACTTACTAGGCTTCACGTCCAGGGCTGTGGTG